AGAAGACAACTAAGGAGACTTCCTTTTAGTCTTCCTTGGATTATACAACCACACCTTGTCTCCTGGTACAAAGCTGACTTCAGTAGACTTCTTATCATAACATAGCTTCATCGAATCAGCAGACGTTTTCAAGTTTGAACGCACTTGATGATGAATATCATCCATTCTTTCAGATAATACTTTCACGAACTCTGACATATTTTCAGGCAACTCTTTGAAGGTGGTCGTCCTGGCAACTGAAGTTCCCGATCAAACATCAGCTTTGCTGGAGTGTATCCAGTTGCTTCATGCTCTGCTGTTCTATAGGCCATGAACAGTGGAGGGAGTAAGACATCCCACTCATCTTGGTGGCTATTATAAAACTTTGCCAATTCCTGTCCCAGTGTCCAGTTGTACTTTTCTACCATCCAATCAGACTGTGGGTGAAGTGGAATTTTCCCGGTCTTTCGTATACCAAACAACTTCATGGAACACAGCTGATTCAAAGTTACGTGAAATAAAGTTGGTAAAATAATCCATCACCACACAAATGTACCTGTTTCCAGCATCAGTTCGGGGCAAAGGACCAGCAATGTCAATGGTTACTCTTTCCATTGGTGCACCAACTTGATATAACTTCATTGGAGCACGTCCCTTATGCTAAACACACGCTATGATTCACAGCGATTCACACACTTTACTTACGGTGTCTACTGTTTGCTTGACTAAATTATCAATTATTTTTCTTCAATCTATCTATACTAAAAAAGATAGGGTCTAGCAAACGCTGGGACATTCGAGAGGTTGCCCGATAAGTTACGATCCTGCTAGAAACCATAGTGTGCATACACCCAGGATCGCGTGACTTCCGCTGTCGTAACAATAACAATCTGAAAGTTATGTTGTTTTATAAGTTGTCAATACTTTTGATCCTGTCGTCATGATTAATATATTTTTAAACTATATTTTCAATGTTTTACCCAAGATGTTTGCAAAAGAGAGCTTTTGATTGCAATGACGTTGAGATCTACAGAATTCATGAAAGTTAAAACTCGAGAAGGTTCGTGTAATATTCAACAACGAGATTACAATATAAACATGAGTAATCAGTGAATTAGAAGTCAGTTCATTTAGTTCAGTGTCAGAAACGTAATTAAGTGTTCAAACTAAGGGTTATTGCATCTATTTATTAACCTTATCAACTTAAGTGTACGTCAATCAGTTTATATTGAAACGTTGTATTTGGAGTCAGGCCTATATTCAGTTGTGGATTACATGTTGAAAGGTTTACTTATGAAATTAGGTCGACAAATAAACGTGACTGTACTATACATGTTAGATATACAAGACTGTTTAGTTTAACCTTTTTGCTGCGTAGTTTGGATATATCCGAATATACATTTGTACCCACTGACTGCCTAAATTCGGATTTATCTCATGGCTACCAAAAAAAGCTTTCCTCTACTGCGACATGCGGAAATATCCCCCTGTTTTGAAACAATCTCCAGACCTGCATGCGTGCTTCAATCTGTGTTCTACATCTTGAAACCTGAATGTTTATATGCCTAATTACCATATTGACAATTTTGCAGGAGTACATATGGAAACTATATAAAGACAGTTTCTTTGATATTCTTATCTAAATATATTTTTTTTATATACTTTGTAGTGATTTTGGCCTCTTATTGACTTAGTTTTGCTTATATTTATGTCATTTACTGGAGAACACTTTTCTTTTAATTTTCCTCAATTTTTTGTTTAAATCATTATATTTCACTATCCAGTACGGTTTTCAAGGAATATTACTGTCAGGTACAGAAAATACGGCTTCTTTCAATATTGAAAATGTAATAAAAAGGGTCAAATTCATACTTTTATTGTTGGTGGATAACTGACAATGTTTGGGAATCAGCCTGAAAAATAATTGCATAGTGAAAAAGTTAAGAGTTATTATTGGGTTTATTTAGTGATTTAATATTGATGATTATTTAGTTTTCATAACAAGAGTGTTAAAACTTAATTACTTTAAAAGAGATAGTCGTGACAAGTTTCTTAGGTAACCTCATACAAGTGGTAAGTTGTGTATGCAGTTTAATTGTTGTACTAGGCTTTAGTAATATTGTTGACGTCATCTTACTCGAAGCTTCCAAGTTTTTCTAGTTATGTATATTGTTGCTACTAGAGGGCTAGAGATTTCCAAGTTATTCTGTCGCGTGTTATAAATACGTGTAGATGCAGAAAGTAAGTTAGGAAAAAGTTAAGTTAGACTATGTAATTGTTAGTTTAGCTGTAATAGGCAATATCTAAAGTGAGTTTCACAGTTTAACAGAGATAAAAGAGAATAATTAGTCTTGTCAAAGGGCGTTCTAAAGGAGACAAGTATATTAAGTTCTGGATACAGCTGTGGTAATCCACGGGGGGGGGGTAAATTAAGTGAACTTATCTCAGATTGTATTGTAAGAAACAGAGTAGAGAAAAATAATTCGTCTTGTCAGTTGGGTTCTAAAGTAACTGAACCAGTCTGTGTGGATTTGTGACAAGAAAGTAGTTATTTAGAGTTTTAGATCTCTTTATCTCTCTCTAGGTACCATACCTATCCAGGGCGTTAGTGAGCATGGTCTTCCAGTGATCCCTGTCTCCTGTTTCTCTTAGCATTTCTATAGTGGTAATTCCTTGTTCATTGGCAATTGTTGATAGCAGCATCTGTCTTTGTCTTCCTTTACTTTTCTTTCCTGGGATTTTTCCTGTCATAATGTTGTTTTCAATCTCTCTTTTTCTCATGCTATGTCCTATAAAACTCTGTTGTGTCATTGTTAAATTTTCCCATAACATTCGTTTTGTCTTAGCCTCCTTCTTTAGAATAACTTCATTACTTATATGTGAGAGTTTTAGATACAACTGTGATATCCTTTGTGTGAAGAATTTTTGTAGATACATTTGACTTGTTTTGAGTATATTATTTTTAAAACAAGTCGATTATGTGCTGTGCATTTATTGTTGATATTTATCGCCAACAAGTCATAGACATCTACCGAAAAGAATCCCAGTCCCTATACAGAACCTAACAATATGTTTATTTAGGAAATTAATTAATTAGTTAATCTTACGTGGATTTGGCATTATTTTTTATCAAATAATTAAGAAGAAGCCATTCAACCATAGAACACATTACAACAACATGGATATCTCTGTTTACATAAACAGAGAATGTAAGCCTATTTAAAGTTTAAACGTGTTGCATAAGGAAGTAAAGCTATTGTCCATTGCTTTAATGAATTGTAGAAAATGTTTTATATATCAGTGTACAATATTTTAGAACTGTTATTTTCTAATAAACTACTACATTTTATTTCATCAGAAAGTTTGTGAGTCAACAATAGCCCTATGAAAGCTCTAGAAACCTTCTGATTATTAGTTTTTAAAAATGCTAGTTACACTGAGTAATAGTTACAATGCAGTAATAATGTGAAATATATACACTTATCGATGCCTATAGGGAAGATATTCCGCGTGAGGCTAATTTTTTTTAATGAACTACTTGCTGAAACTCCATTTGTAGGCCCATTTTCTGTTTTAATTTTCTAAGAAACCAAATCATAAGAAACAGACTGTAGTTCTTTAAGAGATGAGACCGCAGACAATAATGGGCCAATAACTACTCTTGAACAATCAGCTATAATAACCCCATATAAACCTAAATATACCGGTTTTCAATTAGAGAAATAAAAGTGTAGCTACGTACATGTAATTCTTCAAAAGACCTCGTTGGTACTGTTTCTATTACCGTAACATTCCTTCGTTCTTCATCTTCACAATACAATCCTATATCAGAATGTCTTTAGGCGTGAGGTATCCCGTTTGCGGTAAGAACTAGATTACATTTTAAGAAAAGATTAATTTTAGATGAACCGTTCTATCCATGTAAATATAATTTGTATCTGGAATTGATAAACAGGCATTACTTTGTGTGTTTTTTTTTTGGTAAACGGATCTGTTATCGAACCAATTATAATAATAAATTCAATCACTTAATATGCTATATGTTTTATTACCCATTCACAAAGGATTTATGTTCTAGCTTTATAGCACTGCTAAAAAAAATTCATTTATTTATGGAAGATAATTATGCTTTTGATTAGTCAAACCTTAAGTTGGAAATATATACGAGCTAGGACTTGTTTAGAAATCAGCATTAATTACGAACATTGTGATTCGAAACTCTCTGTTCCTTATAAAATACTAACCTAGAGAAACATACAGTTCGTTCTTGCTTGCAATGTTCTTTTCGCTTTTTGTGTGCTTTCTAGAGACTGTGAGAAAAAAACTACCTGATATAAGTTTATGAAGCACAGTTATTTAGAAATTAATTATTTATGTACACATAAATCATACACGGTAATCATACGCTAACGGTTTTGGATTTAATTTTATCTTTTATGCATACGTCGGATAACGAAATCATACATACCTAATTTCCAGTCCAGTTACTACAATATGAAACGCATACTTACTGTTCTGTATACTTGAAACGATGGTACAAACTACGGCAACATGTACTACACAAGGTAAAGTACATTTAATTTTTTTTTTTTTTGCTGCGAAAACAAAAATCACTACATTGTTTCCGTTATCCATTGCTTGCCTATTTCTGACTGTGCTAATAATATTATTGAGATTTGACCTTTATAAATTTCATCATACAGAAACAATAATGATTTGACTTTGTTTCTTTGTTGTGTCTTGTTAAAACCTTTCTATCTGACACGTTCATTTTTAAATATTCGAGCTTCCATTTTAATTTCTGAACATCTATACAAATATATAAAGACAGGATATAACAACAAAGGTACGTCCAATGTTATTATTATTAACTAGATTCATTGAAAACTATTATCAACAATACTAAAGTTTTAATTTATTGATATCACCAAAATAGTTTTTAACTGTATTTTACTGTATGCATACTGATACTAGTTAAATATATATATATATGTGTATGTATATTTATATATATGTGTGTGTATGTATATGTATATATATGTGTGTGTCTATATGTATATCTACGTCTATATATATATATATACTGATACTAGTTTTCAATTATAGCCTCAACTATGTGAGCATTTTAAAACTTCAATATTACATTATTTGATGCAACTGTGGTACAGATTTATTTTTAAATCACTTCTGCGAATAAATACGTTTTATTTAGTTGAGATGCTGATATATCTCCGATTCGGTATACTCGTTATTTAATACATTGTGAACTTGGCATTTATCTTTTGAACCTGGGATTCAGTACGTTCACCAGGAACGTTGTCGTGATTTTGGGAGGTAAAATATAAATATTGTTTTGTACTCTCGATACAGACAATGTTTTAGATACGGTGCACGTACTGAAACATCTCCGCACGTTGAGCTTATGGGTATGTTATAAGTGTGACAGTCAAATCCCTCTATTCGGGCTGATAAGAGTAGCCTAAGAGTCAGCGATGTTGTTGATTAACTGAGGGTTAAAGGGTTTAACCTTTCTCTACTCTCAATAAAGTGGTAACTATATAAAAATCGTATATATTAATAGTAGTCTCACCTGAGCTCCTAAGCTGGGTCAGGTGTATTCAGTGTATATACATATATATATATATATATAGCTTTCAAACCATTGATTACAACAGCTATTGCCACAGACATTATCCACTAGGACAATAAGTTGACAACTTGGACCGATAACGGTAATGCGATATATATATATATATATGTGTGTGTGTGTGTGTGTGTGTGTGTGAATTTGCAGTTTTCACGTTTAATACTCACATATTCTCTATCACAAGTTCAAGTAGAAGTCGGTCGAATACACTGATTTAAAACAATTATTCGAGTACTACTGAATGTGAGCCTGGTATCAACGTGATGAACTGTCAAATAAATACCCATAAAATCTTCAAAAATATGCATTATCTTGAAGTATATTCTTTATAATACAAAATGTAAGGTGTACAAATAAATTCATATATTATTAAATGTTGAAGGATGGAGAGTTTAAGTGTGAAAAAAAATACTTTGTGTTAGATCGATACATCTATTTGAAAATGTTTACGCGGTCAGACAAACAAACTCACGTAGACATAAATTTATTTAATAAAACTACACGTAAAGTAAACAATAAAATAAAGTAATGATATTTATAATAGTGTACAGAGTGTAAAACAGTCATGAGCATTCAATGTATGACACAGTTTTAGAACTTGAAACAAAGAAACTCACAGAAACAAAAAATAAAACCCATAATAAAGGAAAAGTAGCTAAAAGGTGTTTATAGCAGACTATGAAATGAACCGAAGCTAACTTAGTGCAAAGTAAAGTAAATGTAAAGTTGTATTGAAAGCAAACATAGCTGATTATGCAGAAACGTCTAAATGCGTGTTCACCAAATGATAAGCATATGGTTTTGAACGAACTACACATGTATATTTTAGACCTAAATAAGTCGAGAAATCCCATAAAAAATTGTATTTAGTGTAATGTTCTTTTTTTGGGAAATTATACGCGGATTAAGTGTTGTTTGTGTGAAATACTTTATAAATAAAAAAATTAAAGTTGAAATCTAAGCCAGTCGTCAAGTAATGATAACGACATTGTGCAATCGGGTACCTTACTCTTTGCATTAGAAAGTTTGACTAAGCAAAAAGACAGGTAAAGTGATTCTGAATTGAAAAGCCAATATGCCATCCGGACTCCTCATACAAAGGCCTCTGACGATATGAGATTTGTAGTATTTGATCGAGACATTTGCAAAAAATGTTCTGAACAGACAAACGCAACTGTAATATTTATATACATGAAGCCCCCCAGTGACATAGCGGTATGTCTGCGGACTTATAACACTAGAAACCGGGTTTCGATACTCGCGGTGGGCACAGCACAGATAGCCAATTGTGTAGTTTGTGCTTAACTTCAAACAACAACAACAACATATACAAGAAAGAAGTACGTTAATTATACTATGCCAAATTAACGTATTTTAAATTGACAATTAACAAACTATTGTGAACCAAGTAAGTTTATCTCTGTCTTAAATATGTGTTAATCAAGCATGGATTTAGTAAGATGAATTGCACCTTAAATATTAATTATCAGAGCAATATTAACTAAGTTATACTGTGCTTTAATAAATATCAGCATACCAGTATGAATCAGACTATGACTTGAATATTATGAGACCTGAATGTTACTTGTAAGACTAAGTATGTTCAAGCCTGATATTACAAGTTCATTATATTTCGGTCTTTAACGCTGACGTAACCTGTTTTCATTGATATGCCACATGTAAGCTACAAATCACATCGAACATGCTCGACTTTTCAGCCATGGGGGTGTAATCATGTGAAGGTCAATCCCACTATTCTGTAGTAAACGAGTAGCCCAAGAGTTAGCGGTGGGTGGCGTTGACTAGCTGCCTTCCCTCTGGTCTATCATTGTTAAATTAAAGAGGTCAAGGGCAGATACCCCTCGTGTTGCTTTGCGGGAAATTCAAAACCAAAATATCAAATGTAGAAACTATACTTTCTGCTCCGTTACTCCCTCAACCTTGGTTAAGAAGTCAGTGCTACAAATACATGCATGCTACAAATACATGACCATCTGTTTCAGTCTCTATACTGTACCAACAGGCAACTGAAATATATTATAGCTTTCGAAGCCTGTTGTGTCTACTCTGCCTAAAGGTCCACTGAAACAGCTGCTTTACATAAATGTTCTAATTTTATGGTACAATGTTAAAAAAATGTGCATTGTCTTGGCCTTAACACGGAATTATGATTGAGATTTAATTTAATACATTGAACATAACTTAATGCAATTAGCTGTATTTGAAAATAAAAATTGTCTGACTTATTTTCAAGTCCAATAAGAACAATCAGAGATATTGCATACCCCTCGTTCCTTTTCGAGACTGCATTTGTTTATATTGGATAACGTCAAATTTCAACTTTCAATAACTCAGAAAGTCCTCCTCAGATCCAGAATGATCAACGATTCGGATTATTTATTGCAGTGTGATGAAGAAGCTCAACCTTGGTACAAATCCAGTTACATTTTACAGAGTTATTAATCCGAAACCGCGACATTGCCTTATCTTCTCATTTGAAACAATGCTTCAAAGTGATCCAGAATCCGGATACGGACCATTTTGGGGAGGACTGTCCCATACTAACGTCTCATCTTGTGTAAATTTTCGTGTTCATCGGTCTATTAGTTTTCGAGATACGCGCGCGGAAACACAGACACACAGAAACCCGATTGCAATACATTCCCTTCGGGGCGAGAGTAATTAGTTTGTGCTAACATGTCATAACTGATTCAAACATAAAAATTATAGTTTAAACGCACATGACGGTATGACATTAATCATTTACCTCAGTGTCATAGAGCTCTTTTTCCCGTGGCAAGTGTTTTATAAATGTAATTGGATACACAGGTGGTAATCTTTTCAGGAAGTTCAGTCTCTTACATTTTAACGATAACGGTCATGTTAAAGTGAGTGATACCTTCAACCCCAAATGTAAAACTGATGGTCGTAGTTGCAAACATTCCTGCATTATGCACACTTGTTGAAGTCCGTGATGTTTCTTTCGTCTCTTGTTATTAACAGTGGGAGACCGTGAAGATCGTGAGAATCCATCTCGTTCACGTGAGTTGTGTGCGACATTGTAATGTTATCGCTTATAATCTCGTGATGTAGAAAAAAGGACGTGCGTTGCATAATATATAACAAAAGTAAATATATAAAAAAACAATACTCGCTATATTTGACTTCATGCAAAAATTGGTTTCATTACATCACGAATAAGCAAGAATTAATTGATTTAATTACTTGACATATATGTATATATATATATATATATATACCGTAACCATGACCTTCACGGTCAAACTTACACAAAGGTAAGCCTAATTAAAACAACTCTATTGTCTAACGTTAAATTTCATTCCCGGCCATTTCGTTTCACAGCATTCTTCTTTTATGTTCAGTAAACCAGGAACTAATATAAGGATATAAACAAATCAATTATTTAATTGAGCTAAGATTTGCAAAGAACTATTTTAAGCTGCAATAACATGCAATAATGAAGACAAGTAGATAGGTTAACGTCAATTTTTAGTAGAAATATAAATTTCCTATACAATGAAGCTAATGGAACATAGTTATTGTTTTCATAGGGGGTAGGGCTATAACCTGAAAATGTCGGGAAATTTATTGTATTCTAGGCCAACAGTGACTTAACGGTTATCATGTCCAAAGATTCACAGTTCAAAACCCTTTGCCGCAAAAACACTTTCCGCACTTTGAGGCCGTGGGCACGCTATAAGAATATAGGAAAATTCTACTATTCAACCAAAAAAGAATGTATCTTCCCTCAAGTCTATCAATTTAAACATAGGGACGGCTATGCGCAAAGCCATTGTTACCTCGCATTTTAAGTTACCTCAATTCAGAATCTTACATTAGTCGTATAAGGCTCCACAGATTGAATATTATTTTTAAAAGTTCCAGTATTGATGTTTCTATTAATGTCCAGACAGCTATTGCATTTTTCTTGGATTCCGTACACATACTTAATGTATGTGTTTTCCATATTATTGCCTTTCCAGATTAGTGTACGAAAGAGTGTGTAAATGTATTAAACTTGTTTTGTTAGCAATATGTATATGCAAGTCACCTTATTTCAAATACTGAATAAAATCAGTTCATATTTCCGTTTCCGAAGTTTGATAGGCACAGAATCGTCCTGAAATTGCACACAAAATGTTTTTACAGTGAGTTCTCTGAAACTGGGGATATTTGTTAACGTATGCACACTTCGTCATCTTCATGCTATACATTTCTTTGAATTTACTATTTATTGTGAAACTATGTTGCTAACCCGTGCTTTAGGAAAATCTGTACCCTGATTCATGTGTTCCCAAACCCTTTAGTTCGAGGCCCTCTAAAAACCTTAGAATAAATTTTAAATAATAGCCACTCTGAGAAACCTTACTTTCATTGTAGGTCCGGCATGGCAAGGTGGTTAGGGGGCTCGACTCGCAATTTGAAAGGTCGCCGGTTCGAATCCCCGTCACACCAAACATGCTCACCCTTTCAGCCGTGGGGGCGTTATAATGTGACGGTCAATCCCACTATTCGTTGATAAAAGAATAGCCCAAGAATTGGCGGTGGGTGGTGATGACTAGCTGCCTTCCCTCTAGTCTTACACTGCTAAATTAGGGACGGCTAGCGCAGATAGCCCTCGTGTAGCTTTGCGCGAAATTCAAAAACAAACAAACAAACTTTCATTGTAATTTGCTCTTTGAAAATATCTCATATTTTTCACAATAAATAAAATTCTTGCGGAAAATATTCTTTTGGCCGATATCAGTGAATATTTCTACATGAGCTGAGACCGTTTTGCTGATCTCAGTTTGAGAACCTCTGGTGAATAATATATAATATAAGGAAATTCTATTTTAGTTGTTTTTTCAACTTCCCTCTAGAAGTATCCGAAAGGTTGTGGTATAGGAATATACCATAGGTTCCTTTCTTTCTTAGTATTAATGCTGGTTCTGAATCTACTATGTAGTTTTGAATATGTGCAAGTTAATAAAAACCATGGGGCCTAAACGACCGTTAAGGTTTCTTCCCAATGAACTGTCAAATCAGATGCTACTCTCTTGATTTGGAAAAATGGCAGAGGATTTTTCGTTGGACCGTTTGGTGAAATCTATCAACAAATGTCGAAAGAGAGTGATCATCACATGGTGACGCCACCAGAACAAAGAAACTAAGGTTTATTTGCGAGCTGGAAGGTTGATTTCAAGAAGTCCTAGGCGACTCCACAAATGTAAACTTTCTTTAGCTTATGATGGTGACAAAAAAAAGAGCTGTTTTGTTGTTGTTGTTTTGTCTATTTACGTTCAATAAAGGTTCTTGTCCTGGTGTATTATACATTGTGTCCAGTCTGTTTGACATTCCCAGAGTTAAACTTAACCGTATTAATTCATCATTGTTATGCAATAACCGTATATGTCGAGAATAATTTTAAGCGGACTTATCTGGTGAAGCTCTATAAGTACAACCAATTTTACTTGAGAATGCCACAAGATTTACACCTTTTATCCGCTGACAAGGATTTTCATTCTTTCCGGACACCGTCATTTTCATGTTATAAACCGGAGTAACATCACCACAGAACTATATTAGAAATAATTATTGTAATTTGTGTATCAAATTGTTCTCGTCAGCACTGTATGTATGTATATATATATATATGTTATCTTTATCAAAGCATTCATTAGTAAGTCATTAGAAAAAGTTGATTTTGTTAGCACAGAATTGCAACGGTGCAGAAAAAACATTTTGTTAACTTCGTTTTGGATTCGGACTCAATGAATATAGTTTTACAATATAAATATTATCTGTCACAAAAGTATGAGTATTTAATGTTGCCTGGATAAGGAGCTTATTTCAAACAGACTGAAGTTAAAATTATGATTTTTTTTATTGATTTTTTTACAGGAAACGGACGCATTGTTCCAAAAGCACCATCTGGTGGCAATGCAATATCCAACTCTCCTCATGTATCATTTATACCTCAACCACAAAGTGGTACCGTAAGGAGAGATAGAAATAGTGCAGACAAAAGTAAATCTCGGTAAGAACATATATATAGTTTCTAAATAAAAAATATTAACGCTTAGGAAGTCAAACGTACTTCAAACAGTGATAAAATTTTACTTACAGATTTTTTGCCAAATGTTATGAAAAATTCCTAAAACTGAATGAGATTTGCTTGATTGGATTTATATGAAGTTATAATACGCAAAAGTCCCGAATAGTTTTTATTATTGTCATGTTTTTATTGGAACATTTTTTCTTTCATTTGAATCAAGATTACATGTGTCAGTTTTCTATATAATTTGAAAACCCAGTGCCGGTATATGTTATGATATTAATTACGTACTCGAGTGTGTATTTATCAGAGTTAAACTAACACTATCTTAATTTCATTTTGAGAGTTATTCGCCAAGTCATTTGTTCTTGTAAGTTAAACAGATAAAATGCAAGTAAGTTCACCTCAAAACGCTTTAGCTCAAACAGTAGGTGTTGTCTCATAGATACATCAAAATATAACACCATTTACCACTCATGTTGCATCATTTTATTAATGTGTTGTAAAACAGAATTTGCATTCAACGTAGCTCCTAATTCACCATATGATATTTTCTTTAGTGTAACTCAGTGATGATTTTAAGGTGATATATATATATATATATCATGTTAATACAGTAGTTATCAATTATTGAAGTTGTGATAACTGTTCAATCTTTGACTTGAACTTAAACTTATGTCACTGTAATGATATGGTAGCTGCTTTAAGCATACCCTGGTTCAGGCATATTGTATTTACACTCTGGTTTAGGCATATTGTATTTACACCCTGGTTCAGGCATATTGTAATTATACTCCAGGTTAAATATATTGCATTTATACCCAGGGCTAGGCATATTGTGCTTATACTCTGGGTTAGGTGTATTATGCTTACATTCTGGGTTAGGCATATTGTATTTACTGTAGCAGAAGTTAATTGTTTTAGGGTTTGTTTATTTTTTTTCGTTAAGCGCTAAACCACACAATGTTTCCACAGAGAGGATTGAACCCCAATGTTTAACGTTATAAGCTCTCAAGCTTTTTGTTGTGCCATCAGAGCAACTGAAATTAAAGAAGCATTATAGGAAATGTATCGTAATTTGAATGTAACAGATGCTCTTGTTAGCCACTGAGACGATAAGAATAACGGAAACTTAGATGTTGGAATCGCTCTATCTTCTAGCATTCTTTACTTCATTGTACTTTAGTTTTCAAATACTAAAATTCCTTTATTTATTTCAAACCTTAGGACCCTTTAGATTAGAAAAATTTTATTATACTATTATTTTACTGATCCGAAGCTAGTTATGTAACAAATGTGCTTATTATAGCATAGGTGAGATATTTGATCAATTACTTTTAAATTGTTTACCGAAATTCGGGGATATTGTCCTATCTTTTCAGGCCTTTATCGGTTTCGTCAATACGACATCTTCCGGTTAAAATCCGTTCGGGTGCTACGCTGCGCAATACATCACCTGATGTACATCCTGTTGGACACAAGTACACATCCTCTAATAATAACTCTATGTTAGATAAATTTAGTTTTTTCAATTACAAAGTAACACCTGGAGAAAAAGCCAAAGGTTAGTGATGTTTAAAATTTATTTATGAAATATCATACATTTTATGATTTTAAGTCACTTTCTAAGTGCCAAAAAATTACAGAATACGTTTCTTTTTTTCTCTATCAAATACAATTACTTTTACAAAATCAAGAGTATTGATACAGCCAAACAACATTTTGTGTATGAATTAAATAGAAATATTCTAATAACGCCGTGATGTATATTTCACTGTTTCAACCAACTAAATTTAATCACAAGTTAGAAAATTAGCTGAATATATTTTCCCTAGGTGGCGGGTTCTCAAAGCGAACAAGTAGTAGCAGTGGTTTTAGTTCAGCTAGAAGTGAACGAAGTGATTCCTCTAATAGCGACCCCAGCTCTGGTTCGACCCCAGAAAGACCGGAGGCATCCATATATCTCACTTCTCCGAGCGTCGATAGCACGAAAGTCAATGCTAACAGTTTTTCAAAGAATACATTTGGGAGAAATTTACCAAGAAGCAAAAGCAGCGAAACGAAAACGATTAATTATAGTAAGTTCTGAATTATTGTTAAAAATGTAGGGAAAAAAATAACAACAATAAGATAAAATGCTGTAGAAATTAGGGCTATTTCCTTCTAAAGAAGTACAGTGACTGGCGACTTTTGTGGACGCTTATATACACTTCCAAAACTCTATTTACAAAATGATCATGTGATGTGTAAAGTGACTTCTTGAGCCCTAAAATGCAAATATGTAGTCGTATCTTAGTTTGATCGACTTTCAAATATATCTTTTATCAGAGTTTAGTAACAGAGAAAATCGAAAAGAAAGATTCTCTCACTAATTTTCTAATCGGTGGTGGCTGACAAAAAACAACAACATATAAGACATGCTTATAAAGTATAACTGACGCTATATTTGTTTTAACTTAGTCATTTTGTCAACATCGGTCAACTATCTTAAACGTATCATGAGAAAATCATTACAAAAACTGTAATATGACATCCGATAACTAGAATAAAACAGCTAATTTCTGGTATAAACAGTAAAGCGCAGCTTCAGTTGTGCTTATACTGCAAACTATGTCGATGAATAACAGTAAGTGTGTGTGTCCTGATCTAATAAGTGCATTTTACCGATTTTTGTATTGAGGTAGAGTAAAAATATGGAAAGTATTGTATAAGGCACATGACGCTGCTTATATTGTTCTGTCACTACAAACTGCTATAGGTGGTGTAGTAGTGCAGGGAAACGTTGTCTTCACAGGAATTCGTTTCTTTGATTGTTTTAAAGCTGCAACCAACATCCGGAGTGTACGGTCATGTCCACTCAACTATACTGTACTTTCACCCTGGTGGATAAAAACATTTCTAAGATGATAATGCAACAATAAATCGCACTCATATTGTTTAAAATTGGTTCAATGTTTTCTAAGCTTAGCACTATCACCAGATATTCGTCAGTTTGAGCACTTGTAGAATGAACTTGGAATTCGCACTAGCCACTTTAATCCTCTGTCGATATATATGAACCAACTCTATACCACTCATATTCTTCAAAGAATGATCTGAGATCGAATAAGACAGCTACAGTTGTCAATAACGTTGAACTATTTAAATATGTTAATGCAATGAAAGGTGATCCAGTTTGATTATACTGGAGGTACTGATAAAGTAGCCAGTCAGTGTACTTTGCAACAGCTGCTTTCAGTTATGACATAGTTAAAATTTTATCAAACTGACATAAAAGTGTTAATTAATTTCGAAATATTTTCTCCTTTTCAATTTTAACTCATTTGTCTATAAAAACGTTACCAGTGGTATTTATGTCGTTTTTATGTTGAAAATTCCAATTGCTGAAAATAATTAACAAATGACAACAAAAAAGTATTCGGGCCGTTGGTCAACGACTAAATAACATTTACAGTTTACAGTCATCATGTTTCCCGGAACAATGCTAATTTCGTATTATAAATATTGTTTTTAGTAATTATAAGTTCCAGGCTTGCTTTTTCAATTAAATTAGTATAATATAAGATCCAACTTTAACACCAAGTCAGTGTGCGTTACTTTGTTTAGAATAATTTCTGTTTGATAGAAATAATATTATTTTTGATAATGCATATTAGATAAAGATGGAAGTTTTTGAACACTCTTTGAACCTTGAGAAAACATAAGCGTAAAAATAAGACATAAGTGTACTGTAAATATGAACTTTATAATAAAATACTCACTTGTTAGTAAAAAATATTCATTTTGCTTTTGAGGCAACTGGTCTCATGGTATTTCACCCACGGTGGATGCAGGTTATGTTTCACCGCTGTATGTGTGTGTTTTTGTCAGCAAGATTTCTCAAAAACAACTAAAGAGATTGGGTCGAAAATTGGTATGCATTTGGACTATGACCTACCATAGAAGAGATTAGTTTTTGGAGGATCAAGGTCACAAAAATCTGAAAAATTCCTATATGTTGACATGGGAATCGATTTCACACTATTTTTGCTCTATAACTCAGTCAAAAAATCATTGGATTTGGATTGAACTTGATGTATTTATGTAGAATATTATTCCTCATTGTTCTGCCAAAAATGATCGGTGTTCGTTCACAACGACGGACACACGGACACATTTTCGTATTTTTTTAGGGCCGAATATGATCAACGAAGCGTGGCGGTGATATGCGCTCTACTGAGTGCTCCTCTAGTTTTTAAGTTTTGTTATATTTGTCATTTTTGTACTATGTTACTTGGGGATCATTAACACGATAACAGAAATAACAAAAATACATTTCCTAACTTGACAGAATTTAAAATCCTCATCGCTAACGTTATAGAAATAATTTGATTTTTTTCTCCGTTTAATGTCGTAGTAATCTTGATTAGTTATTTAGTAATTAATAAATTCATTCGAATCGGATGTATGAGTTTTCACAATTTGTTTCAATCTACGTGAAATACTTTAGCATAAGTTTTTTTGGAAATTTGTATTTTAGTTAAGAAATTTAACTCAGAGAAATGTTAATTCTTTTGCGAGTAAAGATTGCTTTTGCACTAACCACACGTTAATTGCCCCTCTCATTATTACATATGTTTATCTAAAGTATAATAAATTTTATTGTGATGAATTTACATTAATGTACAATCTTGGCTAAAATATTTGCATACCGTTTTATATTGATGTTATTGTCTACATGCATGAAGTAGTTATTGAGTAAATGCCCGGAGAGTAACAGAGAAGGTGGCCTATGATCGTACAAACGTGTACCAGTTGCTACTCTGGTCTGTATGAGTTGTTTTAAGCATTTGTTCGTCAAAACACACACATACATATCTGTGTGCTTTTGGTATAATATTTTTAGAAACAGATCAACACTTTGTTCAGACAATATATCGGTACTTAGTGTAGAGTCGTGCCAAAGTTCTATGGCATCAAATTATTCGACTGTCCACTAATGGTATGAAGCAAACGAACATTCCCAGAACAGTAGGGTACCACCAGTGTACTGTATCTAGAAACCTGAAATGTCATTGGACTACAGAAAAAGTTTTTTCCAGGAAAGTCTACTGGTAGACGCCGAAAACTACTGCCCAAAATGACATTGTTTTGATCAGGTTAACACGTCAAGGTCGAAAGAAGTTTTGCAACACTTTACGACAGGAATAACATGAACACATTTATTCCAGGGTATCCAGAATAACATTGAATAAGATATTGACAAAACAAGGTTATTTTGCAAGAAGGGAGATCTTCAAACCGACATTAATCAGAATTCACCACTGTTACTATGTTACTTGGACAAGACAGCATGAAAACTTACAGTTAGGACACTGGTGACATGCCATCTTTTTAGATGAGTCCTGTTTCCGGCTTGTTAAAGTTTATGGTAGGACTCGTGTTCGTCGTTTGTCTGGAGAACAAGCAGATGAGGGAACACAAAGGTGGTGGGGCAGAACATGTTTGGGCAGCTATTCATTGTAGTGGAGAAACTGTTCTTCATATCCTCCAGGGAAACGTCAATGGTGTCTCGTACAGGCATCACATAAATAGTATATTTTTGCCATATGCTGGGGCAAGGCTGGACAATAACTTTGTGTTCCAGGATGACAATGCCACTGCCCACAGTGCACGTACTATACAAGATTGCCATGGCCAACAAATGTTGGATTACGTCAAATACCTCGTTAACAGCATGCCACATTGCCTTGCAGAGGTTATTAGAATACGAGGAAAATCAACCAAGTACCGATTGTTTAATATGAACTAATATAAAGTTACAGACGCTATTTATAATAATATGATGTTATATTTTGTCATTATATATGTTTTGGTAAGGTTTTGTTGTGATGCGTGAAATGCTGAATTACATATATCATAAAATTGTTTGTCATGATGTCCATAGAGCCTGTCTCATTAAACAAATTACATATGTAAATAATTAATATAATATGCATTTCTTAGTTTGACAGCACTAAGTGTTTTTGTATTTCATCTTAATAATAAGGATCTTAGATAGGTTACAAAATATACAAACATTTGGCCAAGAATTGATGAAAGATTGTTGAATATATAAACTTTTATTTAAATTTTTAGTTATTAAGCAATACAAGATAAAAATTCTCTCTTTTTTTTCTTTACACAAAGAAACTGTAACCAAGAAGCCAGCATCTTTGAATTCCACGTCATCAAACGTTACTAACAGTGCAGCTCCACTTGAAGAAAACTTGGAAAAGAAAGGAAATAGTACTCAGAATGAAAAGTCCCATCAATCTGTAAACATTAAAAAGTTGGAGCAAACGAAAAGTGGTATTCAAAAACTCAAACCAAAATTAAATATTCAGGTAAGTAAGTCACTACCTAAGGAACCCACTACACAAAAAAACAAATGTATATCCAACCGTAAACCTTCCACAACACAAAAAGTCAAATTGAAGAGTACAGAACCTACTTTGGTTACAGAAAGAACAAAAAATGTAGAATGTGTGAATGAAAAAGACCAGCCTAAACAAAACACAAACTCCGTTTCTGAAAATAAAAATCACAAATACTTTACACTGTGTATGTTTGAAGACCTGTCTTGTGACCCGGGTTTGCGGAAAGCAAACTCGAAATATTCTGGTGAAATTGACAGTTGTGAATCATCGAATGCAAATATCGAATCCTCAAACCTTTGTGCTAAAATAATGATTACAGCTGGAGCTAAATCTCAAGAAACTAGAAATTTAGAAGAAAACCAATTGGTTGAAAATAAGCAGAATTCGGTTCATCATCTAAGACTAGATACGCTCATTCGTAAGTCTGAAAATGTCTTGAAGACTATCAGACCAGAGATTCCTAGTGTCCCAGAAACCAATTACCTAAACAGTAGTGAAACGATGTCCAATCAAGTGGTCAACAGTAACATTCCTAAGCCCACTGCGGCTGTGAAGGGAGTGTTTAAACATTCTAAAGATATTCAGGACTTTAAAAGCTCTAGTGACACGATCTATGACGAAAAAGAATGGAAGCAAAACATAAAAAGTCGAAATACTTTTAACTTATTAGGCTCTCTTAATATTCCTTTAAATTCATCGAATGGTGAAAATCAGAGAGATTTACAGACCACAAATCATCGTCAAATAAACAAAGACTTAGGCGCGACTTGTCAGAAAAGTGACATTAACTCTAACGTTAAGTTAGGCCTTGCTGAGTCTGAGCGTTATGTAGACGGACCGCAGATTAGCGTTTCTGTCGCAAAAGTATTGCCTATCATGAACAGAGAATCTAGTAAAACCAATCTAAGAAAGCTGAATACAGTGTCATGTCATACCGAAAACAAGCTAATAAGAAAAGATTTGGGGCCTTTGAGGAAAGCAGAAAGTCAGGAAAATGAAGACCAGTTCTGTCAAATGTCTAGGTATCCACTAGTAACACAACAAATCAAGACGTTAGAAGGCATCTCAGATGCAGAATATTTTAATCAAGTGAAAGAAACGCCATACGTTATGAAGAAATGTGAATTATATGATTCTTGTGCTACAGGCCTCCTCTCTCGGGATATGGCAGTAATAGAAGAATCAGATGACGTCATGCTCAATATAAAACCCATGCCTCCTCTCACACGTGCCTCGCCTTACGGTTATATGCGTGGTCATTTGTCTTCCAGTCGCAACTTGACAAATAGGTTGTATATGGCCAACTTCCCGTTACAAACAGATGTCAGGAATACTGATGATGGCAGACGACCACTATCACAACACAGGCTGACGACAGATGACTCGTCCAAAATTTATGGTGTCCCTGTAAAGAGGGCGCTAGGCAATAGTCGTGCCCTACTAGACGTAAGTTGTTTTCCGGATATAGATTCTACTAATATTGTGATAGGCTACATGAGTGATGGAGAAGTGATTGGGCAAAGTCCTTTGTACAGAGTAGAAGATATCTCCAGTGGCTACACGAGTGAAAGCGGACGATTTCTTTATTCAAGACAGCCTACCCGCAAGATTAGCGAGAAAAAGCTTACTCTTAAAGACGCTAATGTGCTGCAAGATGACAGGTAAGGTTATATACTTAGTTGTATCCAAATGTACTTTTAATAAAACAAAAAAGAGAGAGTTATTTAAAAAGAAATTATTTGATTGCCCTGGCATGGCCAGATGGTTAGGGCGCTTGACTCGCAAACATGGTTGCCCTATCAGCCGTGAAGGCGTTATAAAGTCACGGTAAATCCCACTATTCGTTGGTAAAAGAGTAGCCCGAGAATTGGCGGTGGGTGATGATGACTAGCTGCCTTCCCTCTAGTCTTTCACTGCTAAATTAGGGACGGCTAGCGTAGATAGCCTTCGTGTAGCTTTACGCCAACGTCCAAATAAACTAAACCATTGATTGCCACAGCAGCGTATCCTTAACGTTCGGATATATTAACTTTCATCAGTAAAACTTTTGAATGACTTCATTATTAGTGTTTTGAAACTAATTTACCAGTTGTATAACATATACTTTGTTCTTATTTAAAATCGTGTCTTTTATATGAGGTTTATGGATGGTTGATTTGACGTCAAACTGTTGGGTTTTGAAAAAGGAGGGAATTATTCTAGGCTTTGTTTTAATTATTTCCATTAGCCTTGCAGTTCATTTAATTTCTGTACATATTTTGTATTAATTCTTCTTTCATAAACTTCTATAGTGATTTGAGATGGTGAAAGTGATAAACACACTTAAATTATCGCTCGATTATCGCACTATTTGTATTTTATTAATTAACCTTCAATTTGCATGTTATTAATTAGTCACCACTAGTTATTGACTTTATTATGTAGTATTCATTAACCTTCAGTAGTTAATGGCTTCTGTTCACTTTGTCTGTGATAGAATGGCCTTCACTAGTTACTAAAAAACCCTACCTTAATAGATCTTAAACTCCTAACCTTCTCCCTTTTGCTTGAAGACTTGTTCAAGCATAACGCGGGCGAGCTGTGACAAGCCCAGCAACCTGAAGTTAGTCTTTCCGATCTGGTATGCCAAACAAAAGTTTTTTAGTTCTGGATGGAGGTTGGGAGTTTTACCTTGTAGAATTTTTAGAGCGGTATTATTTCTACTTTAAAGTTATATCTGCAGACAGCGAAAGGCTGTAGGAGTTGAGACGTTGTGGATATAAGCGCTCAACTGCTAATCCTTAACTGATTTTGAATAGCTGATGGCTAATTTTGTCTGATAGATGGAATATCTCCAACGTGTTTGGGCGCTATGACCACAGATATTATCCGTTATGACTTAAAGTTGACAACTAGGGCTGATAATAGAATATAATTGTTTAATTTTTAGTTTGGTAATGTTTGTTATGTACTAAGTTCATTATTGTTTTATAGTGCTCTTTTAATCGCCTATATTGACAGTTAATGTAACTCAAAGTATTAGAGCTATTTATTTATTTTTGGTGAAAAATGGTGTTACGGTGTTGATTTGTCGCCCTTTTTTTTCCTATTTCAAAATTTTCCTATTTATGAATCTTCTACGGCAACTGTACATTGGTTCTCAGCCTAGCTAGCTATTTACCAATAATTTATATCTGCTACTTTAATTTATGAAAAGTTTATTTGCAATAGTTCAAGATGCTTAACTTGTCCGGCCCGCGGCCCCTATGGATTTTCAGCGTTTACGTCAAGATAAACCACTTTGTAAAATGGATAATGTAATTTATCTGTTAACTTGTGGGGTGTGTAGTCTTAAATATGTAGGACAAACAACTAATCCTTTTCGGTGACGAGGAACCCACTTTGAGGTACCTGATGATGACAAAACCTTGTCGAAACGTTGTACATTTGCTGTTATGTTAAACTTATATTAAAGTTTTTCATCATTACCCATTCAAGCCGTCTTCAGCCATAACTAATCCTTTGCATTCAAGAATTAACCTGCATAGATCTCAAAGTTCTTGAAATAGATCATTTTAACAAACATTCACTTGCTATTTTGGACAAAATATATAATGCAAAGCTGTTAACAGATAGAGAAGAACACTTTATCTTGAAAGAAAAAACTCTTTATCCTTAGGGATTAAATAACGGTTTTAATAAAGGTTTTCAAAACAAAATGCTTAATTTTTAAGTGAAAATATTTATTTATTTCAGATAATTACCTGTCACAATAAAAAATAGGGGTAAAGGTAAAAATAGGAAAAAAAAAGATTAATTTTGATGATTTCTGTAAAAACTTAGATTTTCCTTTTGACAGATCTGTTAATATGTTAAACTCTATAATAAAACATTTTTTTAAACAATATAAAACTTAATTGTTTGACAATTTTGAATTTAAACATATTCACATTAACGATTTAATTGTAGACCTGATTAAATTTTGATTAAAATGGAATCCAATTCTAAAAAATTTTTGGTAAAAAACAAAGAAAAATCTTATATAGTAATAGATTTCAAACATAAGATATATGATGATTTATCTTTACCTTACTTAATTTATAAAAGTGTTCAAGAAGAAATTTTTCCCATCAAATCATTACAACCCATAGTTAGTTTTAAGTATAATACACCTATAGGGCCTCTGTTTTTTAACCACAAAAATGTATTCAAGAATTAAATCCAAGAGAAATTGACAAATTACTTTGTAACTATAAAAATAGTGCTTTTGTGAACTGTTTTCATAATTATATTTTACAGGTGATTTGGAAGTTCTAAAAGATAAGGACTTAAGATCAATTTTAGAAAAAGGTACTAAATTTAGAATTATAAAATTGACAAAAAAAAATTGAAATTTTAAAAGATTCGGAAAAATATTGATGATTACGTTATCAAAATAGTAAACAATTATATTATCCCCCATGTTTCGTTTATGAATGTAAACTACATTTTATTAATTCCATAAAAAAACGATCAAAAACTTTAAACTTTCAATATCTTTAAAAATAAAATAAGGAAAGCTCAAGAAAAATTTATTATTACCTCCAATTGATAAAGCTGTTTGCAATTTTGGTTTTGTATGTAAAACATTATATGCACAAATTTTAATTAATGAAACTAATACTACAACACATTTACAAAAAAAAAACATTTTAGGTAAAATACAATTATTACTAAATTAAAGAAAGCCATTAAAAATGGAATATACATATAGATTGTTCTTGTTCTAACTTGCCATTTTATATGCAATTCCGTAATTGCATAAAATTCTTGTTAAGTTCAGGTTTATTAGAAACTATTTAAATACAGTTACTAAATCTGTTTCTGTTATACTCAATAACACTTTAGATGTTTTATTAGAAAAAATAGAATTATTGTTATCAAATGATTCGGACCATTATTCTTGGATTATCAAAAATATCATTCCAGTTTTGGAATCTTTAACTAATTTAAATTATTTAAAAACAGCCAACTCTGTTACTACTTATGATTTTACCATATTATACATTAAAATAAATTTGAATGATTTAATCATGGTATTTAATTATCTATTTGATAATTAAGTAGATATAGAAGTAATTATTCCAAAATTTGAATTTACTAAGCAACAATGTAATACTATACTTGCCCCCACTTGCACATTGGTATGTCTGCGGACTTACAACGCTAGAAACCGGGTTTCGATACCCGTGGTGGGCAGAGCACAGATAGCCCATTGTGTAGCTTTGTGCTTAATTCCAAACAAACAATATACACAGCGTGGTCACAAGTAAATAGACACCACCTTTTCAGAAAAAATGAAAATTTTCAGTGATATTCATATGAATTGATATATTTATAATTTAATTAATATCTAGTAGATCTTCCTTTCGCTTCGTGGAGTTCGTG